TATACAATGGAATATTATTCAGCCTTACGAAAGAATGAAATTCTGATACAAGCTACATGGACCAACCTTAAAAACACTATGTTAAGTGAGATAAGCCAGAGACAAAATGACAAATATTGCATAATTCCCTTATGTGAGGTAATTAAAATAGACAAATTTATGGAGACAGAAAGCAGAATCCAGTTTACCAGAGGCTGGGAGAGGAAGAATGGGGTGGGGGGTTATTTAATGAATACAGAGCTTTATTTTAGGAAAAAGTTCTGGAGACAGGTGGTCGTGATGGTTACACAACAATGTGTATGTGTAAGTGTTATTACCGAGTTTAGAATGAGGAAACAGACCAGCATAAGAAAATTAAATGCCAATTTATTCAACTCCCGGGTGAGGTTCCATGGTCCCGGGGGAAGGGGCCGGGGAAGTCCCGCTTGACTCTTCTGGGTGTGGGGTTTTATAGGGAGTGAAGGCGTTTTGATTGGTTGTGGGGAAACAGGACATGGTTGGGGCAAGCTGCTGTTGGTAGGTAGGCGGGATATCCAGTGAGCAGCTGCCCAGTGGGAGTGGGACCTGGACAGGGCAAAAGGCTATTGGGCAGGTTTTGGCGGGGCTTCTTTTGAATTTTGGTGGGGTTTTCCAACGGCGGGGTAGGTGCTGAGTGCCAAGTTTAGTGTTGAGTGCAGAAGTGAGCGTTGGGGAAGCCACGTGGCAGAGCTAGATGCTGACTGCAGGGCTTGATGTCAAGCCCAAGTGGTGACGTAGTTTTCAGGCACGGAGAGGGATGGGCATGTCCAAGCTCCCCAGTGCAGCAACCCGCCTTACAGCATGTACTTGATGTCACTGAATTGCACACTTAAAATTGTAAATTTTATATCACATATATATTACACAATTTTTAGGAAGACCCAAACTACTGATACACACAACATGGATGAAATCTCAGATATGTTACACTAAGTGAAATAAGACAGAGCCGAAAGGCTTCATATGGTATGATTCCATTGGTGTGATATTCTTGCAAAGGCACAACAATGGCAGCAGAAAACATCTGTAGTTGTTGTGGCTGCGATCAGGGAAAGGGCTGACTACAAAGAGATACTGGAGAATGTGGGGGGAATGATGGAACTTGATTGTGGTGCTGGTTCCATGACTATATAATTTTGTTAACATTCGTAGAACTGCACACTAAATTGGACACATTTTACTGTCAATAAATTATACTTCAATAAAAATAATGGGAGAGCATTGCCTTTTGAAACTCTATACTTCTCTATCATAGCATTTGTCCTCTGCAGCAATAAATGCTAGTTAACATCAGAGAAGGGTAAAGTTATAAGGACTTGCAGGAGGAAAACACCTTGATTAATATCTCAAAATATTAAAAACACAGTCTGTCACCATAGTGGTCATGAATTCTCCACCCTGATTGTCCTTTTCTGCTTTAGTTCCCACTTGCTCGTGTGTGTTAGTCTCAGAACCACTGTAAGCAGCCTTATCTATGCCACTACCCATCACAAGAATGCCAAAGTCCATGCCTCGGGTGCAATCTCTGGAGCGTCCTGAGACTTTTTATCAAGAGGATATCAGAGTCAACATGAATTTCATGCAGAAGCTGAAAGAAGGGCCTCCTCCCTAACTGACTCTATGCCACACTTTGTTCCCAGGGCCGTAAGGCCTGGGCCAACTTCACCATTAGCACAGTAGGCACAGTACCTAGGGCCCACAATACTGTTAGGAGCTCATGAAATACTTTTAATTTCATTTAAAATCAGAAGAAAAAATGAACTTTAGGGTCTAAGAAAATGTTTTAATATATAATAATATATTTACCTTTATACCAATGTAATTGTAAAACACCATTTAATTTTTTTTTAACGGAGGAAAGGGCCCAAGAAGGTAAAAGTACATAGGGCCTTTGAAAGTCATTTGTAAAGAAGTTCTGTGTGTTGCCAGAATCTCACAAGACCTCTCTTAAATAGTTGGGTCAGATTTTTGCTGATGCTTATTTAGCCATAGGGATTCAAATTGGATAAGATGGTGATCACACAGCTCTTTCCTCTTCTTCATTCCTTTTTTTTTTTTTGAGACGGAGTCTCGCACTGTCACCTGGGTTGGAGTGCAGTGGCACAATCTCGGCTCACTGCAACCTCCACCTCCAGGGTTCAGGCAATTTTCCTGCCTCATTCTCCTGAGTAGCTAGGATTACAGGCACCTGCCACCACTCCCAGCTAATTTTTTGTATTTTTAGTAGAGACGAGGTTTCACTATCTTGGCCAGGCTGGTCTTGAACTCCTGACCTCGTGATTCACACACCCCGGCCTCCCAAACTGCTGGGATTACAGGCATGAGCCACTGTAGCCGGCCTTCGCTACTTTTCTAAATCCCTGCCTCACTAAAATTTCTCTATACCTCAAGTTATAAGACCAAAACCAGGTGGGCAAACAAATTCCAATCTTCTCTACTAACTTGTTTCTTTCAGTCATTATTTTGGTAATTTATGTCCTTTTGGCCCAAAGTTTTGTACATAAATTGAACATTTTAGTGTGTGGTGTTTCCCGTTAATTCTCAAAATCAGACAATGATAAAGGTTAATTCCTGCAACCTTTCTCTCCCAGTTCAAATCCAATTACAGTCAGCCCTCCATATCCATGGGTTTCACATCCATGGATTCAACCAACTGTAGATCAAACATATTAGAGAATTTTTTAAATGGATAGTTGCATTCATATTGAACATGTGAAGAATTTTTCCTTTTCTTTATTCCCTAAACAATACAGTACAACAATTTACATTGTATAAGCTATTTTAAGTATTCAAGAGATGATTTCAGGTCTACAGGAGTGTCTGGGCATGGTGGCTCACACCTGTAATCCCAGCTCTTTGGGAGGCCGAGGTGGGCAGATCACCTGAGGTCAGGAGTTCGAGACCAGCCTGGCCAACATGGTGAAACCTCATCTCTACTAAAAATACAAAAAATTAGCCAGGCATAGTGACACATGCCTGTAGTCTCAGCTACTTGAGAGGCTGAGGCATGAGAACTGCTTGAACCCAGGAGATGGATGTTGCAATGAGCCAAGATCATACCAGTGCACTCCTGCCTGGGTGACAGAGCAAGACTCCATCTCAGAAAAAAAAAAAATATATATATATATAGATAGATAGATAGATAGATAGATAGATAGATAGATACAGGAGGAGGTGCATAGGTTATATGCAAGTACTTGCCACTTTAGATCAGGGACTTGAGCATCTGCGAATTTTGGCATCCATGGGGGGTCCTGGAACCAATCTCCCATGAATACTGAGGGATGACTGTACTAACCACTCCTCCAAGTAGCATGGAGCAGCGACTTGGGAGCAGTGACTTGGGAGCAGTGAGCAGAGAAGCCTGTAGTGTGTGAGCTCTGCTAGCATCCAAAGAAAGAGAGGAAGCAAAAGGACCGACTTCCTGGCTCCGCCTCCCCGGCCATGTCAGATGGAAGCTTGGAGACTGATCCTTGAAAGCTCCAACTAAGGACCAAAAGGAAGTCTGGTGTGGACAGCATAGTAGGCCCTTCCATCCCCCCCACACAGGAAGGGCAGTGCCAGGCAGTGTGTTGGGCCCCAGAAGAAGTCAGAGAAAAATGAGGCAATATCTTAATCTGCTTTGTGTTGCTGTGACAGAATACCTGAGACTGGGTAATTTATAAAGAAGAGAAATTTATTTCTCACAGTTCTGGAGGCTGGAAAGTCCAAGATCAAGGCACCAGCAGGTCCGGTGTTTGGTGAAGACCCAGTCTCTGCTTCCAAGATGGCACCTTGAATGCTGCATTCTCTGGGGAATGGGGTGGGGGACTTGCTGTTGGCAAAAGAGTGCAAGAGCAAAGAGAGTAAGAGAGAACCCACTCTCAAAAGCCCATTTAGAAAGGCATTAAACCCACCCCCAGCCTAATTACCCCTTAAAGGTCCCATCTTCCAATATCATTACACTGGCAATTGAATTTCCACGAGTTTTGGAGAGGACAAACATTCAAACCATAGCAGGCAGGCAGGCTGATGAGTTCTTTCCTTCTCTAAAGATGGCAACCACTGATTTTACAGCTGTGAAGACGAGAGCAAAGAGGCTCTCTGCCATCAACAGCTTACAAGTAGGACACATACTCTGTACCTCTGACCTGTCATAACTTTGCCTGGCCCAGGGAGCTCCAATAGCTTCACCAGAACTAGATTTTTGCAAGAGAAGTGGTCAGATGTAGATGAAATTGTCCTTGATTTTCCCAATAAGTGCCGTAGGTAGCCAGCTCTTTTTACATATAAGTTGTAACTTGGATATGTAACCTAACTAGCAATATTTTCAACCTCATATGGCTTTTAAAAAGATGAACCAGTGAGGCTGGGCACATTAGCTCAAGCCTGTAATCCCAGCACTTTGGGAGTCCAAGGCAGGTGGATCACCTTAGATCAGGAGTTCAAGACCAGCCTGGCCAACACGGCAAAACCCTGTCTCTGCTAAAAATACAAAAATGAGCCAAGCGTGGTGGCGGGCACCTATAGTCCCATCTACTCAGGAGGCTGAGACAGGAGAATTGCTTGAACCCGGGAGGCAGAGGTTGCAGTGAGCCAAGATTGCGCCACTGCACTCCAGCCTGGGTGACACAGCTAGACTCCCTTAAAAAAAAAAAAAAAAAAGAAGATGAGCCAGTGAGCATTAGCAAAACCCATTGACACCGAAAGTACGGGAGAAGCATACCTACTCCACGTTGTCTTAAACTTTTAAAATCTAGTACTGTGTACATTACAAGATAGGAATGACGTCGCTCCATTCTCTTGATCCAATGGTAGAAGCCTGATGTGATTTATCCAAATCACACCAGTTATAGCACTGGAGAGAGGAATGATCTGGGAATTTAGAGTCCTGTCCACCAATGAGCTCCACAACTGCGTAAGTCATTTTATTTGTTGAATTTCAGTTTCTTCATTGGAGAAATAAGATTGGACCAGAAGATTTTTATCAAACTTAACTGTATTTGTTTCCTGAGACTGCCAAAACACAGCACCACAAACTGGTGGCTTAAACAACAGAAATGTATTGTGCTTCACAGTTCTGGAGGCTGGAAGTCTGAAATCAAAGTGTTGGTAGGGTTGTCTCTTCTGAGGACTATGAGGCAGACTCTGTTCCTCGTCTCTCTCCTTCCTTCTGTAGCCTCAGGTATTCCTTGCCTTGTAAACGGCCATCTTTTCTTTGTGTCTTCCCATTGTACTCTCTCAATGCCTGTATGTCTCTGTCTAAATTTCCTCTTTTTATAAGGACATCAGTCACACTGAGTTAGAGCCTGCCCTAATGATGCATGTTAACTCGATCATCTGCAAAGACCCCATTTCCAAATAAGGTCACCTTCATAGGTACTGGAGTCAACATCTTTTGGTAGGGACAGCATTCAATCCATATAATAACTTTCTTTAAAAAAAAGAAGGAGGCCGGGCGCGGTGGCTCACGCCTGTAATCCCAGCACTTTGGGAGGCCGAGGCGGGTGGATCACGAGGTCAGGAGATCGAGACCATCCTGGTCAACATGGTGAAACCCCGTCTCTACTAAAAAAATACAAAAAATTAGCTGGGCATGGTGGCACGTGCCTGTAATCCCAGCTACTAAGGAGGCTGAGGCAGGAGAATTGCCTGAACCCAGGAGGCGG